TCTGTAGCATAAACACTGACTTCACATTTATCCAGATATCACCGCAACTCTTCAGCAGATAGGCTTCGTCATAATATACTACATTTGAACTTTCCAGTGCAGAGGCCACATTGTGAGGAATGCAATGTGGCTGAACACTCAAATGCACTTTTTCACAATCAATAAACATGAGCAGTTGGATATTGCACTATTGCCAGATAATGCAAATGAATCACTTTTTTGAAGAATATGGCACTGTTTTACCTCAAGTTGCAGGCAAAGCGTGTTCTCCCATCATCTGTAATTCAGTCGGTAATTGAGGGGCTGCAGGACATCCATGATATTAGCCAGTCTCATTTGCTACACAGGGTAAGTGAAAAATTAACTACACTTGGACATTTCTGAAAATGATATAAAGAATGTTGTTGATGTTTTGAAAACTGATGATCTTTTTCGGATGTGTAATGCCCATGCACTACACACTGATAAGAGGAGAAAGTCTTTCTATAAAGACAATTAAGTATGTGGATCCTGTCCCCATCTGCCTTGGTAAAAATGAATCTGGCAAGGAAAGCTTTGCTCAATACGTTCCCATTAAGCAAAGCTTAGAAGCTCTGTTCTGCTGTAAATCAGTTTTAGAACAACATAAGAATTCACGATCTGAAATCAGAGCAAATGATGTCCTCTGCAATGTATGGGATGGCAGTATTGTTGATGAAAATGTGCTGTTAAAAGATGATACAGATTCGTTAGCTTTAATCTTGTATCAAGACGCTTTTGAAGTGGCAAACCCACTTGGCTCTGGCAAGAAAAAGCACAAAATTCTTGCTGTTTATATGACACTTGGAAACCTGTTTCCTCACTGCAGGTCAGGAATTGACCACATGCAGCTAGTTCTGCTGTGTAAGGAACAAGATTTTAAGTTTTTTTGGCCAGGGTTTGGTTTTTGCCACTCTGGTTCAAGATCTTAAAGACCTTGAGGAAAATGGTGTTCTGTTAGCTGATGGAAAGCTTCACAAAGGTACACTGTGCGCAATAGCTGGAGATAATCTTGGATCCCATTACATTGGGGGCTTCGTTGAAAATTTCAGTAGAAGTAACAACTTCTGCCGATTTTGTGAAATAGACCGCCAAACATTTCTTTCAGCACCCCTAACAAAGGCATTAACAAGAACTGTTATGTCATATGAGCAGAATCTTAGGGATTTGGATTCAGGTGGAGCTGAAATTGCTGTTGGTGTCAAATGCATTTCTCCGTTTAATGACCTGAAATATTTTCATGTATGCCAGCCAGGATTACCTCCCTGTCTAGGACACAACCTTTTTGAAAGTGTTGTGTCATTTGACCTTGCTTTGTGTGTAGATCACCTTGTAAATCGTGAGAAATGGTTCACATACACTGAACTAAATCATCGCATTAACCAGTTCAAGTATCTGGGGAATGATGCACGTGATAAACCGTCTGACGTAACTCCTGGTACTGGGAAATTAAGTGGACATGCAGTGCAAAATTGGTGCTTGCTCAGGCTTTTACCTCTTTTGGTAGGGGAAAAAATTGCCAATCCAACTGAAAATGAGGTGTGGCAGTTAATTCTGCAACTCAGACAAATAGCAGAGCTCATCTGTGCTCCTTCAATTACGGTCAGTCAGATTGCTTATTTAGCAGTTCTAATCAAAGAGTATATTGAGACTAGAAAGGTGTCTTTTCCAAGTCATCCGCTTAAACCGAAACATGTGCCATTACCCTGAACTCATTGATCGTTTTGGTCCACTTATTCGTTTATGGACGCTGCGTTTTGAGAGCAAGCACTCATACTTTAAACAGTGTGCAAGAAAATTGCACAATTTCATAAACCTGAGTGCTACATTGGCAGAAAGACATCAGCTTCTGCAGGCTTACCTAAATTCAGGAAGCATTTTCCCTGAAAATGTTGTGGCAGAGAAAGGGACAGAATGTAATTGTCACGTAATTGACTACAATGATGACATTCAAGGATCTGTTGCAGGCTTTCACTTTGAGCCAGGGAATACATTGGCATCAAATGAAGTGACCGTAAAGGGAACACTTTACAAAAAGAACCTGCATGTAATTTTGCAGAACAATGATGAGGGAATTGTATTTGGGAAAATTCAGTTAATTCTTGTTCATTATAATTCCAGTGTGTATTTTGTCACACAGAAATGTCAGTCGTTTTGTCTCGTAGACCAGGGAGTTCATTGCTTGACATCTCAAGATAAGGGCTACTTGTGCGTAAACCAAGACAGCTTACTGAATTATCCTCTTCCTGAATACTTTCTGTGTGGCTTGTCAGTAATAGTTCTCCACCATTCTTTCCCAATTCTAGAATAATGTCTGGATTGAGAGAAGTATTGAAAGATGCAGTACTGTCGGTGTTGCCAAGCCTATCTCCAGATGTTACCAGTCAACTGGTTGAGAAGCTCATGGATCAGGGAGTTGAGGGTTTGGATGATTTGATTCATGTAAAGGAAGATGACATTTTGGAGTTCATACGACCTATCCAATGCAGAAAACTTCTTGGTGCCTGGCAAAATCAAGGTAAAGATAAGGTTGTTTAATTTTTTTTAAAAAATTGATCATTTAAAATGTTACATTGCATTGCAGTACTTTTTATGACTGATTTGTTATTGTATATAATCTACAGAAAATCAAAACCAAACTGTGGTTTTGCAACCGGTTGAGGTTCTCCCATTGGTTCCCTCTGAAGCCAGCACTACTCCTGATGCACCTCCATCAAGCTCCTCAAGCACATCAGCAAGCAGTCCAGGATCAACCGGTGTTTCACATTCATGGCCTGAAAATTTCAAAGTTCCCTGGAACTTAATGCCTGCCGGAATACCGAGTGCTATTGAGAATGGCCACAGACCTTCCC